CTCCTCCTCCTCCTTCTCCCCCGTCCTGATTATCAAACAGATTCTCGCCAGGGCCGGGTTCTAAACCTGCGTACTGCTGGCGTTCGGAGGGAATGGGGCGGACTTGCGCGGGTGGGAACGAGCACGACTCGTCATATGCGCTGACATTGTTCCATGAACAGCTATTTTTCCATGAACAGATCTGCGCGTGTGAAGTGGTTGTGATATGCTAGTCTGATGGATGCGACACTGGCCACATACAGTAGCCATAAGACTGATAAGGACAAACAGAACTTGAGACGTTTGGGGTTCGGTAATTCAGTGGCCCCACCACCCCCAAGGAATGCCCAAGGTACTGCGAGATGCAATCGCATGGAGGGAAGGGTATCGGGCTCGTTCTCGTGCTGCCGCTGGCGCTGCTGCCTGCAGGCCTAAAGGGGTTTGCGAGAGCGAGCAGGGTGAGCAAGGACAGGGTGGCAGCTTTTCTTATTTCCCGGGTAGCGGTCGTTCCCCCGGGGGCGCGGGGAGGGTGTCCAGGCGGGAGGGTAACGGGTAAGGGCGGCCGCGGCGTGCACCCGCGAGGGCCGCGAGGGTGCGTCCGCGCCACCGGCGCATCAATCGCTTGTGTGCACCACAGTCTCTGTGTATACGATACTGCCGAATGCCTGCGTGCAACACAGCTCCGCCTGTGTACACCACGCTGCCTCAGCACACCACAACAGCCGCGTGCATCGCAACACCACGTCGCCCACGTACACCGCAATACGATCGTTCGCATTACCCTGGGGAGGGAAAAACACGCTCGCAGGATGAGACAGAGCGACATTGTGGGGCACGACTGGTGGTTCTCCGCGTATTCTTCCTCCTCCTCCTCCTCCTCCTCCTCCTCCTCCTCCTCTTCCTCCTCCTCCTCCTCCTCCTCCTCCTCCTCCTCCTCCTCCTCCTCCCCCACCTCTTACTCACAAAACTCGGAGGAGGGCAAACCAAGACAATGCTGGCTCTCCCGCCTTGCGCAAATCCAACCAAATCCGTCCCAAGACCCCTCATGGGATCCATCCTGAACCGTTTTTCGAGGCGGATTTAGCCATGGCGACGAGGAATATCCAGAAGACCAGCCAAATACGTTTTGAAACACGCCTGGAAGAGCCGCCGTTGTCTCTTGTGGTTCTCCTCCTGTACTCCTCCCCCTCCGAAGCCCAATGGAGCTGGGAGAGCGAGCACAGAATCAAGCAACGAAGGACAAGAAGCGCAGCGGGGGGGGCGACCTTCGTGAGTGCAGCCAGGACTGGATCCGCGGCCCCAGGCAGTGGGGCTGGCAGGCTCTGGGGGAAGGAGGAGTGAGGGGGGGGGGCACGGGGGGAGGAGGCGGAGGACTGGGGACGAGAGGGATGAGGACTACGTCGGGAGAGAGGTCGAGGAGAAGGGAAGAGGAGAGCGAAGGGGGATGGAGACAAGCTAGGTGCACTCGCATCATAGCTGACACCCCACCCCTCCCGGCCATCCCTTCCCTTGGCGCTGATGTTTCAGTTTCCGCCGACGGGTGACACAACAAGGGCCTGAACCTGGAATCTCCCAAAGGCTGCGCAATCAGAAAGGGGGAGCTGTGTACATCGGAGGAGGAGGTTGGGGACAAGATGGCGAATGAGAACTGAGAAGGACGAGTAATGAGGATGAGGAACAGCAGCAGCGGGAGCAGAAGTGGAATGAGAGGAAGGATAATGAGAACCAGGGGAAGGCGGAGGAGGGGCAGGAGCGAGAGGACATCGATGAAGACAGACTCGGATTCAGAAAAGTGGTCCGCGCTGAGGCGAGAGCGCCATTATGAACGACAAAGCGATGATCCGAAAATGAGGCCCACGTTGCACCGAGAGCGCCTTTTTGGAAGGACCGAAAACGTCTGCATTGGAAACGCACATCTTAGCCAGCGTGGACCGCAAACAGTAGGTGATTGCATGGTGGAAATGAAAGCTGTGCGGCGCAAGCTATGCGGTGTGAGAGATGGGGCGTGAGATATGTGGTTCAAACTATGCTGTGTAATGCATGTTGTGTGAGCTACGTGCTGTGGGCTACGTGCTGCGAACTATGCGATGCAAGTTACGCGGTTACGTTGTGTAAGCTGTGTTGTGTGAGCTGTGTGGTATAAGGTACGAGATATGATTTGTAATATATGTCATGTGTGCTGTGTGGTCAGAACTGTGCAGTGCATTGTATGTTGTGTGAGCTACCCGGTGTGGCCAATGCGGTGCAAGCTTTGCGGTACCCACGAGGTAAGCACCAGGCGAAACCTCGGCGTACCCCCCAGCGCTGGGCGCCCACGCGGCGCCCACGGGCGGCACCATGCGAAACCTCGCGTGCACTTCCAGCGCTGGGCGCCCACGAGCCGCCCACCGGCGAGCACCAGGCGAAACCTCGGCGTACCCCCCCAATCGCTGGGTACCCACGAGGCGCCCACGGGCAAGCATCAGGCGAAACCTCGGCATACCCAACCAGTCCCTTACGAAAGCGAAGTAAGAGCTCCTAAGTGAAAGCACTGCTTGGGGAGTATGGACTCGCAGAGCTTGCAATGCAAACATGTGGTCTGTCCTTTTGTTGTGTAAGCCTATGGTGTAAGGTATACCACCAATGTGCGTAATGTGGCGTAGACTATGTCGCGTAAGCCATGGTGTGAGAGCTACGGCTGTGGAAGCTATGCGTTCTAAGCTGGACGGTGGAACATACGTCGCGTACTATATATACACACATATATACATATATATATATATGTCAACGAACATACTAGAACCACGCGCGCGCTACGCGCGCTTTGGTTCTAGTCGCAGATGAGGCACGGGTGCCGCTGTAAGCCCCGCTGTGCTCACAACGGCCATGTCCAGCGTGTTCGGGCCCATGCCATCGACACAAAGAAACGCGTAGTCAGAACGCTCTCGCTCTGCAGGGGCCGCCCTTGAGGGGTGGGAAGGGGAAAGCAATTTGTGAAATGATAGGGTCTAGCGAGGCCCCGCTCGCTCTGGCGGGGCCTGTCTGGCGCTCTGGCGGGGCCGTCTCAGGAGAGGAGGGGGGAGCACGAAAGCTGAAGGGTGAGGGGAGGAAGAGGAGAGAGGAGGGAATGGAGGCAAGGAGAGGGGGCGGGAGGAAAGGAGGGGCGGAGGGGGGAGGCCCAGGCCATCTGGGCCGTCTTGGAGCGCTCTGGGGCCTCCCGCTCCCGCTCTGTGGCCCAGCTTGGGCCTGTCCTGGGGTACTCTTGGGCCGTCTGGGGCTCCTCCTGGACTATTTTCGGGATCCCTGGGGCAATCTTGGGGCTCTTTTGGGTGCCTCTTCGGAGGTCTCGGGAGCGGTCTTGGGGGCGTCTGCAGCCGTCTTCGAGCATTGGAAGCTCGAGAACGCGAGACAGCGCAACACATAGAACAAACCAAAGCAAACCAATATGATTTGGGCATCTTTGGGCTCTATCGCGACGTCGTTCGGAGCTCTCTTGGGCTCTCTTGAGCAGTCTTGGGCTGCTCTTGGGCAAGCTTCAGGCTCTCCTGGGCCGCCTTGGGGCTCGTGTTGGGGCATCCTCGGCGGTCTAGGGTCATCGGGGCGTCTTCGACCGTCTTCGAGCGTTGGAAGCTCGAGAACGCGAGAAAGCGAAACACATTTGAAACACCATGATTGGAAATGAAGGGTATGGGCCTCTTCGGGCTCTCTCGCGACGCACGTCGGAGCTCTCTTGGGGCCTCTTGGAGAGCTCTTGGGCTGTGCATTGGTCGTGTTGGGCCCATCTGGGGCCGCGTTGGGGCCGTCAGGGCCATCTTCAAGCACCTGGGACCCCCCCCGCTCGCGGTCTGTGGCCCAGCTTGGGCCAGTCCTGGGGCTCTCTTGGGCCATGTGGGGCTCCTCTTGGGCAATTTTCGAACTCCCTGGGGCCGTCTCGGGACTCTTCTGGGGGCCTCTTCGGCGGTCTTGGGGGCGTCGTCGGCCGTCCTGTCGGAAGGTCGAAAACGCGAGAAACCGAAAAACATTGAAAAAACAAACGAACCTCAATGATTAGGGCCTCTTCGGGCTCTCTCGGAATGCTTCTCGGAGCTCTCTTGAGGCCTCTTGGAGGCCTCTTGGGCTGTGTATTTGGGCTCATCAGAGGCCACGTTGGGGTCGTCAGGACCGTCTTGGAGCGCCTTGGCGCCTCCCACTCGCGCTCTGTGGCTCAGCTTGGGCCTGTCCTGGGGCTCTCTTGGGCCATGTGGGGCTTCTCCTGGGCAATTTTCAAACTTCCTGGGGCCGTCTCGGGACTCTTTTGGGGGCCTCTTCGGCGGTTTGGAGCGGTCTTGGGGGCGTCGTCGGCCGTCCTGTCGGAAGGGCGAGAAACCGAAACACATTAAAAAAACAAACGAACCTCAATGATTAGGGCCTCTTCGGGCTCTCTCGGAATGCTTCTCTGAGCTCTCTGGAAGCTTCTTGGAGGCCTCTTCGGCTGTGTATTTGCGGTCTCGAACCCATCTTGGGCCACGTTGGGGCCATCTGGGCTGCCTTGGGTGGGCTTGTCGAAGTCCCCGAGGGCTTCTGGAAGCTTTCTGGGGCAGTCTGGGAGTTCCAGGGCCGCTCCGGGGAGCTCTGGGAGCGGTCTGGGAAACCCCCCTCCCTCCCATGCCCTCCCGGGCCTTGGGCCCCGGGCGCCCGGGCCTCGTACACGGGGGCACACACATATATATATATATATATATATATATATATATATATATATATACATACATATCTATATATGTATATATATGCACAGATATACACATAGTCAAGTAAATGTGTATGGGTGAGTGAGTTTGTGAACGTTGATTTTCAGATAGGTTAGCGAAGGGGCCATAGGGTGGGATATGTCTTGCTGTTTCGGACGTTGTCTACAGGTCTTGCCTGCGCCCGAAACCGTTTCAAGTTCAAGGCACCATGACTCACTGATCAGAGTTTCGAGGTGCCTCCGCGGGCACCCTCTTGCAGGTCTCTCCGCGGCACCCGAGGGGTGCCGCTGTGTTCCACCAGACGTGCCCGCCATGACGCTGGGGGGCGACTCGGCAGCGGCGGCCGTGCCGCCAGGGCTGGACGCCGCCCCAGGAGGCGAGCCGCCGCCGCCCGCCCCAGAGGGCCCCGCCGCCGACGCGAGCCTAGGCAGCTGGTGGCTCGCGGCGGCGTGGGGACTCCTAGCCCTGGCGGGCGGAGGAGGAGCCCTGGCCGCCCAGCTGGGCTCGACGGGACGCGCCCGCCTGACGGGCCCCACCGTCTGCGGGCTGGTGGGCCTCCTCGCCACGGCGCGGGTCGCGCGCCAGGCGTGGTGGCTCTACTGCGACCAGGAGGCGACGAAGGCGCAGATGGCCTCCCTCACGGCCCAGATGCAGCAGCTGGCCCTGTCGGGAGCGATGGGCATGCCAGGGGGAGGTTTCCCTGGCGGCGGCCCGCCCGACGAGGTCATGCACGGGTGGGCCGACGTGGGAGCGCCGCCGCCGGGGATCCCGCAGGTGCCGGGCGCGACGATGGCGGGGCCAGCCACAGGACCCATCGGTCCTCCAGCGGGTCAGGCCACCCATGCGCCTGCGGGCGCCTCGAGCCTGGACGCGCTGGGCGCGTGGGCTGGCATAGCCGCCCCGGTCGCCACGGGCGCTGGCGCCGCAGCCGCGACGGGCAGCCCGCCACGCGTCCCTCAGCACAGGCCGCCCGAGCTGGACAGCAAGGTCCGGCAGCAGGCCAAGCAGGTGAAGGAGCTCCTGACGGCGCTCGCGAACGCCAGGGGCCAAGACTACATGTGGGGTCGACGCTTCTGGTCCAACATCTACGCGATGGACTCGAGCGGGCAGTTGGTGCCCGAGGTGAAGCGTTTCCTGACGGGGTTCGGCTACGTGGGCGAGCAGACGGTGACGGCCCCCCGCCATGAGGAGCTCGGGGCCGCGCTGGACCGCCTCGCGTCGGAGGCCGCGCTGACTGCTGGCGCGGGCATCTGGCAGTCCACCCCCAGCCAGGGCCTGGCCGCCGCGGCGGGAGGCTCAGAGGAGACGCGATGGGGCTCCTCGTTGCCAGCGGACCTCCAGCGTGCTGCCCCCGAGATCTACAGGGCGATGCGGGGCGAGGGGTCGACGAGCGCACGTGACTGGATCGCCCAGCGCTACCAGGGGAGCCGGACCAGTCCAGTGTGGGTCGACCTGTGGACTCTGGCCACGTCGGTTGACTTCCGCCTCCGCGACTGCAGCAGCGACCTGGAGATCATGCAGGTGCTAGCCAAGGACGACATGATGGAGATCGGCCTCCGCCGCCTCGAGGCACACGTGTACGAGCAGCGGAGCGGCGACCGAGTCGGCGCCCAGCACATGTTGGGCATCGCACCGCCTGGCGGCTCGGCCGACGTGGCCCCGACGTGGATGGTGGCCTCGGCGACGATGCACTCGAAGATCGAGCACCAGCGCAGGGAGAGAGTCGAGGCTGAGGCGCGCCACAGGCGCAAGAACGACAAGGGCGGAGGTCGAGGCGACGGTCGTGGAGGTGGTCGAGGTGGAGGCCGTGGCGGCAAGGCCGCCGACTCCAAGCATGAATAGGGGCTCGCGGCGCGCCCCGACGAGCCTGCCGTCGGGGCGCGGGGCCCGCCAGCGCAGTGGGTGCCTAGAGTGCGTGACGATCTGCACCCCTCGCTGCAGCAGGTGATCTCGGCTCAGCCAGGACAAGAGGCGTTCTTTCCCATCACGCTGGTGGATCGCCCGACCCAGATGACGAGCCGATCTAGTCGACTTCGACATCGATTCAAGCGGAAGCTCGCCCTGTGGGCTCTCGCCAACGAGTTCGTGCAAGGGATCAACTCTATGGACACGGGCTCGTGCACGGACCTCACTCGCCCCCGCCGTAAGGAGAGCTTGTCGGAGAACATGCGGGGGCTGCACGGCCAGGTGCATAGGGTAGCTCTACGAGAAGCTAAACGGCTGGCAGAGGCGCGCCGGGACTGCGGTCTGACAGGCGTCCCCGCGGTGCTGGAGCTAGCTCGTGTGGAGGAGGTGGGCTATGGTCGGCCTACCCGCCTGTCGACCCATGAGGCCCTGAGAGCGGAGGACATTGATGAGCCGCAAGTAGTGAAGAGTGTGAACATGCTCGAGGCGCTCGAGCCGGAGGAGGCCAGGTACTACAGCGACGAGGGGCTTGTGGTGGCCCCGACGGAGTTGCGCAGCCGCGTGATCTTCGAGGAGCTGCAGGCCAAGTTCGGCTTCGTTGGAGGAACTCAGGAGGAGTACGAGAAGTATTTCAGCCGCCCGGACATGCCGCCCAACCTGTGGCACTTCGGCGGCCCGCAGGAGGTGAAGGCCATCGCGGGCTTCAGCACGGTGGGCAAGAAGACCAGTGGGCGGCAGCGTAAGATCATCATGATGGTGGCGGCAAACTATATGTTTCAGGACGTGAGAGGTCGAGCCGAACACGGACTACACGGAGGAGGTGCGTTGGCCAGCCTGCACGTCCCGTCGGACGACTGGGCGGCCGCGGCGTTCGACGAGAGCAACGCCTTCTCTTTCGTCGAGGTTCCGAGCTGGATGTGGGGCTGGCTGTGCGTGCCGCCCGTGAGGGCGTCCGCCATCTGGTGGCGTCTGTCGCCCAGCCAGCGAGACTTTTTGAATCCTGAGAGTTGGGTCTATCCGACGTGGCGCCGTTTAGTCATGGGCAGCTCCCGCAGCGTGCACATCCTGATGTCCATCAATTCGAGGATATGCTCCATGACGCTGAGGCGCAGCTTGGTGGACTCGCAGCAGGATCACACTCTGGCGTGGCAGGCCGGATACCAGATGCAGAAGGATGACGACTGGGCCGAGCGCCAACGACTTCGACGAGATGGCCCCCCCCCCCCGAGCGGGTTTTCCGTGGCGAGCTGGTGCGAGGCAGTACGCCACGCACGGCGTCAGGAGACCCGTGTCTTCGTGGTCATGCACCTGTTCGCGGGGGCCCGGAGGGAGCAGGACGTGCAGCACTACGTCGAGGCGATGATGACCGACCTGGAGCTGAAGGTGCTCATGATCTCGGTGGACCTGGCCGAGGACTCGCGGTGGGACCTCGGGCGCGTCGACGCCTTCGAGCTGCTCTGGTCCTTGGTGTCCGAGGGCCTGGTGGACGTGATCCTGGGCGGCCCCCCCTGCTCGACCTGGGGCCGTGCGAGGTTCAGGCCTGGAGGACCGCGACCCTTGCGCCGCCGAGGGAAGTACGCATGGGGGCTACCCCGCGAGAGACTACGGCCTTCTGAGGTGGAGCGGCTGGACGAGGGCAACCGCCTGATGGTCAACCACCTGGCGCTGTGCGGCGGGGTGGGGGACCGCGGGGGAGCCTGGGCCCTCGAGCGCCCAGACGATCCTGGGGAGGGCCCGCATCCGTCCATCTTCGACGCCGAGATCTTGAAGGATTTGGAGTCCAGGACGGGAGCGCGGCACATCATCTTTGACCAATGCATGATGGGAGGGCCCTCGCAGAAGCCCACGAGGGTCACAGGTACGGCACGACTGGCGGCCACCGAAGCACTACGGTGCGACGGCGCCCACACACACGAGCTGAGCTACGGTAAGGTTAACGGGAACTTTCGGACGACCAAGCTGGCCACTTACCCACCTCGACTGTGCAAGTGGATAGCAGAGGGCATAGTGGCCACGCTGTCGGAGATGGCGCAGACCGGCGGCGGGCCAACAGGACACGTACGAGACGGAGTGAAGTGTCAGAGGATCACGCGCTATTCGGGGCCCTTGGACCTCGGCGCCTTTCATTTCTTGAACGAGACGTCCTCGCGAGGCCGCGGGGCAGTGCTGGGCGCGAGGGACACGAGCTTCTACCTCCATATCGACGACGGCCTGATCGCAGCGGACGGCGGGTCCCAGCAGTCAGGCGAGAAGAAGGTCAACAAGCTGGTCCACCAGGTGGCGGACGCGCTGGAGGACGTGGGCTTCGTTGTGAAGGATCGGAGGGAGCACGGCATGGTGGATCGCATCGTGGGCTACGAGGTGGAGTCCAGCCCCGCACGAGTGCGGGTCCCGAAGCGCAAGGCGGCGCTCATGTACGAGGCGCTGCTGCTGCTCACGAGCCGGGACTGGGTGCACCTGGACCACCTGGCGTCGGTCATCGGGGTCTGGATCTGGGCGGCGCTGCTGGCCAGGCACTGGCTGTCGGCGCCTCAGCACCTGTTCCAGTTCGCGCGCCAGGAGGGCCCGCGCTGGACACGGTGGTGGCCGTCGGCCCGTCGCGAGGCCGTGGCCATGCGACGGGGCATCATGGGGCTCTACACTGACCTGGGGGCCCCGCTGCTGCCGATGGTCTTCGCCTCGGACGCCGAGGGCGCGCAGGACTTCGACGCGGGCGGCTGCGGCGTCGTCGTGGCTGCGGCGAACTCGAAGATCGTAGATAGAGGAGCTGTGGAACGCTGGTACCCGCCCTGGCGTGGCCGTCGCCAAGCCAGGACAGCTGCAGAAGGTGCTGGAGCGCGGCCCTGAGACGCTACAGCCTTTCCTGCCAGTGAGCTCAGTTGAGAGGGGTTGGATCGACGGAGAGGCCTCCTGGATCCCGGTCGAGTCTGGACGCTGGAAGGCGCCTGACCACATCGTGCTGGGGGAAGGGCGGGCCGCGCTGAAGGTCCTGTCGCGTCTGGCGCTGCTGCCAGAGGCTCACCGCTCGAAGGTCCTCAGCCTCGAGGACAACATGGCTTTCGCGGGCGCTGCGGCCAAAGGCCGATCGGCCGCCGGCCCCGTGAACTACTTACTCAGGCGGAGGTGCGCGTTGTCGAGCGCCACGGAGATCAGGATGCACCTCCCCTGGGTGGAGACCGAGAGGATGCCCGCGGATGGCCTCTCACGCATGAGAGGATGTGGTCAGGATTCAGAGGGGCACAACGCCCCGGCGCCGAGAGTGGACGCGCGCAGCGTGCGCATCATCCAGAACTGACTTTTTCGAGCCCGAGGGTGCCAGACGACGAGCACCTGGAGGGCCGTGCGCAGCCCGAGACATTGCTAACCTATCGCAAGCGAGCAGCGGAGTTTTACCAGTGGTGCGTGGCCGAGGGGGCCCCCCCCCTGGAGCCCTGACGAGTGGGGCGACACGATCATGGAGTACAAGGCCTCAGTGGACTTGCTCAAGAGTCATTTCACCTCCCTGCTCGCCGCTATCGAATTCAAGTTTCCGCGGCTGAAGGGCCGCCTTTGCAGATGCCACGCCGCCCTGCGTGGCTGGGAGTTAGAGCACCAGACCAAGCACACAGTGCCGATGGTGAGCACCGCCCAGGCTTTCGCCAGCGTGCGGCTCAGCGCACTCGGAGAGCCTCGCCTGGCCATCGGCCTCATGTTGCAAGGAAAAGTGGGGATGCGGCCCAGCGAGATGCTGGGGATCGTCACGTCCGATCTCGTCTTCCCTGAGGAGTCTGGGTACGGTCGAGGTCGAGGGCCCCTGATAGTAGGCTTGGGTATCAAGGCGAACACCAAAGCGAAGCGCCCCCAGTCGAACGCTGAGGACCCTGAAGGCCCACGCGCCCCCAGGGGGCCGCATGTTCCCCTACACCCTCGAGAAGTACCGCAAGTTGCTCGCTCGCATCCAGTCGGAGTGTAACCTACCAATGGGATGGACCCCCCACAGTGCCCGAGCAGGTTTCGCTTCAGAGGCCAGGGCGCGGGGTATGTCCTTCGAGTAGATTCGAGAAACAGGCCGTTGGAAGGTGGGCAGTTCCCTTCGAGTATATATCGACATGGTCCAGGCCGCCCACATAGCCGTGGGGCTCAAGGCGGCTGGGTGGGGTCCAGCTTTCGATTGGGCCGGCCAACGCTGGGCCTGGTGTGCGCTACGGGCGTTGCAGGGCGCCGAAGGGCTCCAGACGCCTGGCTGACGGGTCATGGGCGACACCAGAGACGATACCAACGGCCAGATCGAGTACGCCACCGCCATCACCTTTCTCTACCGGGAACTCGTCCTGGGTACTACCGAGCTACCCACCTACGCCGACTAGTTTAGTTTCACCTTTTGGGCTGACGCCGTCACCAACGCCGACGGGTATGGCAACACCGCCGATGACCAAGGCGGCGCCTGGAGTGCCGACTTCATGGGCGACCCCCAGGCCGCAGCCGACCCGCCGACGAGTTCCTTCAGTGTGGTACCTGTGGAAGTTGGCTAAGATGTCTTCCAGCTGCAGCGGGAGCTGCAACTGTGCGGTGCTCATCATGGCGGTGCTACTGACTACGGCGTGGAGCCCCCTGTTCGCACGCTCGATGAGCATCGCCTCGGACGTGGCCGAGGAGGTCGGAGGGGCGGCAGGCCGCATGATGGGCGCAGGTGCGAACGTGTCGTCGAGTGCGGCACGGAACTTCAGCGCCCTCACCGACAACACCCTCAGCCTCGCCGAGACCGCTTGAGAAGGCATCGACCTCACGAATGTTACGGTCAACAGTTCCGCCGGCCGCATCTTTGTCGATGGAAACGAGTACGCCGAGGACGCACTGACTACGCCAGAGGCTCGAGCGGTGATGGGACTGCCCGACCACTGGCTCCAGGCGTTGGCGGATATTTTTGATTTTTGCATCACCTTCTCGCCCGCTGGTGGAAGTACACAAGCACCTCTTCATCAGCGACTCATCCTATACCTCCCTGGAACTCTGGATGGCCTGGTTCGATACGGGCCACGTGGGCTTGGCCTGGAGGACCGCAGGTGTTACCTACAACGCACGCTGGGCCAATCCCTTGTGGTCGCTGACCGAGGACGCTACCACTCAGACGGTTCGGATCTCAGAGCTGCTGCAAGAAGCTATCCAGGCGACTATCGACAAGCCAGACCTCACTCTATCCAAGTCAGCCCTACAGCACGCTCCAGCCATCACACCACCCTCAGTGCCGATGAGGATCTGGAGGTGGAGCAAGCGCCTAGCCGCTTGGGTTTGGCCGCGAGACGGGAACGGGGCCTTTCGCTCGTCATCGGCGCCTGGCGCCGAGGACGAGTCCTCCGCCGCCGACGGGACCGCCGCCGACGAGGGCTCCCCGGACACAAAGACGGGCGAGGGCGACAGCCACAGCGTGCCCGAGCCCTCAGCATAGGCCGCAAGCGAGTACGGGTTGGTGGAGCGAGGACCTAGCGAAGATCAGGTCGACCGAGTGCTTTTCTTTCAACGCAGGCTATCTCAATCAGATGTCACGTTCATTGCAGTCTGCCGGGGAGGTGTGCGCTGACCGCACACAGATGTGAATATTTCTCAGAAGTGAATGATAACAAGTTATCTCTCGAGGTCCGTGCAGGAAAACGTTGAGTGAATTTCGTATTCAGTAGCGCCACGCGCAGGCACGTCCCGGCCTCTAGGGCCCAAGTGCCCAGAGCCTCTAGGGTGTGGCGTCTAGGGCTGTAGGCTAAGGCTCTCTTAGGTCATCTTAAGGTTCCCTGGGGTGGGGCCCCGTTCTTTGGGATCGCACCTGAAATGGGTGAGTGAGTTTGTGAACGTTGATTTTCAGATAGGTCAGCGAAGGGGCCATAGGGTGGGATATGTCTTGTTGTTTCGGACGTTGTCTCCAGGTCTTGCCTGCGCCCGAAACCGTTTCAAGTTCAAGGCACCCTCCCAGCCCTCGGTCCTCGGTACAGGTCTCACTTGCTGCCCGTTCGTTCTGCCGTCCCCCCCGAGCCGTGGTCAGCACCACGCAGCGGGGTTCCTACCGTTTCCCTTCAGGCATCCCTCCCCCTCGCTCGGACCTAGCGGAGATCAGGTCGACCGAGTGCTTTTCTTTCAACGCAGGCTATCTCAATCAGATGTCACGTTCATTGCAGTCTGCCGGGGAGGTGTGCGCTGACCGCACACAGATGTGAATATTTCTCAGCAGTGAATGATAACAAGTTATCTCTCGAGGTCCGTGCAGGAAAACGTTAAGTGAGTTTCGTATTCAGTAGCGCCACGCGCAGGCACGTCCCGGCCTCTAGGGCCCAAGTGCCCAGAGCCTCTAGGGTGTGGCGTCTAGGGCTGTAGGCTAAGGCTCTCTTAGGTCCTCTTAAGGTTCCCTGGGGTGGGGCCCCGTTCTTTGGGCATCGCACCTGAAATACATATATATATATATATATGTTTACACATATATATATGTGTTTGTATATGTATACATCTATGTACACACATCTATATATATGTGTGCAATGCGAACCATGGAGAAACATACCACACGGTGAACGATGTAGGGTGCACGATCTGCCGTGAAAACTAAGCGGATCGGACTGGAGGCGAAAGCTACGTGTTGTAAGGTATGCGGTGCAAGCTAGGTTGTGTACTAGATGCGGCGTCAGCTGTGTGGCGTACGCTATGTGGTGACAGCTCGGTCGTGAAATCTACGCTGTGTGAGCTAAGTGGTGTGAGCTTTGTCGTGCAAGCGACGTGGTGAAGGCGACGTCGCGTAAGATCAGAGCACGGGGCGCCCACGAAGCGCCCACGAGGCGGCACGGGCGGCAACATGGCGAAGCCCCTACATACCCCCCGCGCGCGGGACGTCAACGCGGCGGAACGGGCGGCAACGAAGCAAAAAACCCAACATACCCCCCAGCATACCCCTCAAACGCGGGGCCCTCACGAGGCGCCCACGAGGCGGCACGGGCGGCAACGCGGCGCAACCTCGACATACCCCCCCCGCGCCCACAAGACGCCCACGAGGCGGCACGGGCCCGCAACGTCGCGAAAACCCGGCGACCCCTATCCAGTCTCATTCGTGAGAGCAGCAAGAACCCCGAAGTGCAAGCACTGGTTGGGGAGAAAAGCTCGTACGAATCCCTGCGCTTGTGAAAGCAGTGGGGGCGCACGACTCTCAGGACGTCCTCGAGGGAGAAAGGCGGGTATCACTCACACTGAATATATATATATATACATAGAAATATCGAACAGTTGTGGGGCGGGGAGGGAGGAGGAGGAAGCAGAAGCAGGAGGAGACGCCGCTGCCCTCCCCCCCGCGGCTGCTGCTCCCCAGCCGACGCGGCCGGACGTGCGGCGGCGATGCGCCTGCTGGATCTGCAAACTCGGAACTTTTCGGCCCTGCCATTGGGGGTGGTGCGCGCTGCGTCCCTCGGCCACCCCCCTCGGGGCGTCTCCCTCCGCCTCCCCCCCCTTGTGGCGCTCGGCCCCCGTCTCACCTCTCCGGGGCTCCAGTCTGCCCTTCCCCGCAGCAGGTAGGACGTGGTGGAAGAGGCCGTGGGAAGCACGCGCACTTGCGCTGGCGCTCTTGCGCTCCCTGCGCCCCGCCACTGAGCGATGAGGGCAAGCGAGGCTCCCAAGGGGGGCCCGAAACTCGTGCCGCGGGAGCGAAACGAGAGCGGGCAGGCGCGCCGTGCAGTGGCCCCGCTGCCCGCCAGCACCCTCACTGGGACGGCGAAACCGCACCCTCTGCCTCACGGGCCCTTGTTGGGTGCCTTTCCCGGCGCCCCCCCCCCCCTCACGCAAGAAT